TAGCTTATGACGTATGCATGCTAACTAATGTGAGTGTGACGTCACCAAAAAATAAATATTTTCTATTATAACCAAAATATTAATAACTACAAAGTTTTTGGGCGTAAATTCCCTTAATATGAATGAAGGGTTGCTCAATCTCCTTGCCATACTAATGACAGCTCCCACTGACGTCTCAGTCGAGAAATACGGGTAGCTGAAGTTTTTCTCGCAAATCTGACTACAAAACCATATCCAAATTTCACGTTCCACTTTTGACCCTGAGTTGTGCTTCGCACTCGCCGCTGAGGGCGGCGTTCCGGGAACCCTGCGTCAAGCTGTGAGAAAAAAAAAAAAAAAAAAAAAAACGTTTAAAAAGTACCACCGTACCTTAATACTCGATTGTGTCAAAGTGATTTATATTCACAATATGCACAAGAACGTGTTGTTGAGTAATATCTTTCAAAATAACTGTAGTGTAGTAAAAAAAAAAAAAGCATGCAAAATTAATATAATACTGTGATCAGACGGCTGATAGCGATATACACATCCACTAAAAGAATTTGGTCGGCGTCGTCTTAAACCGGCGTGTCGGTTAGTTTTACCGAAATAAGTCCCGTGCGATTGTGGCTTTATTATAAAAAAAACCACTTATCATATGGTGCCTTGTCTAAACATTGTCTAACAGTCATTACGTCATAGATACTACAGTAGAACCCCTATTAAGAGGACTCCTTCGGTTCCAAAAAAGTGTCCCCTTAATAGAAGTGTCCCCTGAATAAGGGTTGGCCATAGTGTTAGAGGATATACTTCTCTTCGTTTTTATGGCCGAAAGTGTCCCCTTAATAGGGGTGTCCCAGAGGAGGTGTTCTACTGTATGTGGAAGGAAAGAAAGAAGAGGGCGCAAATTCAAGATTGCAGAAATCATGCATATTCATTGTTACTTGAAGAGGCCTATGTAGTGTAAAAGACTACCTTAATTGCCATGGGAAAATAAATTTTCTCAAGTATCTCCCTCCGCGTCACTCCCCTCCTCCGACAGCTTTACATTGGTTCTCCTGTTGCGAGCTCGTAAATATTCAGGACTGACACTTTGTTTTT